AGTAAATTCACATGCAAACACACACAGTTGAGTATTTCAAACAGGTTTTCTGACAATATGCAAAACTAAACCTGGAGGAAAGTAGAATAGTCTGGGTGTGACTCTCAGACTGAGGGAGGTTTCACTGACATTTCAAGAGGTTAAACGAATGACTAAGACATCAGAGCATCAGACCTAAAATGTGTCTTCCCTTGCTCAGCATTCCCTGTTGAAAGTGGGAGATGCAGGCATTTGTTCCGAGTCATCAAAGAAGTCAGCAGGAGAGTGTGGCTCCAGCATTCATTCTGGATCCTTGCTGCTGCTTCGTCCTTTTCCACCAGGCACGATTTTGCTGCCTCCCCTTAATTTGAGTGGCACCAGATCCCCCCAAGCAACATTCACTGGACCACTGCAAAATACAGGGGAGGATGCAATCGAGCTGCCTTAGTCAAATAAATATCACATGAGGTGAACAGCAGTAAAATTGCCAAGAACACGCTTGCTCTCTTGTACAAATTAGTGTTTGGTAGCGTTTCCCTGCTATAAATATGTTTGGAGGCTGAAATGACTTTACAGCTCTAGAAGTAAAACTTGGAAGGGCCAGATCCCACGTAATCTGCTGCAAGTATAAATAAATGCAGAGGTACCGAAGCCTAGAGAAGGACCTGCAGTCTCCTGTGCGGTGGGGAGGGGTCCTTGCTTTAGGCTGGTGAATTGCTTATTAGCCCAGGCTGCGGCGGGGCAAACGAGCTGAGCTGCCCTCGTAGCCCATGTGTGTGTGATCTGTAGGGAAGGTTAATGAGGCTGCTCAGCCCAGCCTGCTGGGAGGAACTGGGGAGCTCTAGAAAGGTGATTATTCAGTGAATAGAAAGAGGCTTTGGAGTAAGATGGGCCCTACAGGGTTAGGAGGAGGAGGATAGAGGAGTTTGATACCTACAAGTGGAGCTGTGCTTTGCATGGAGTATCAGTACGAGGTATGTGCCTGGTTACTTCATGCTGGGAATCAGCAGTGCCTGACTGTCTTGATGGTTTCACTGGTTTTAAAAAGCTTGCTTTGCTTTTCGTGTGCGAGGACGATGAGGTGGTTGTAAGCCTGATGGATTTTTGGAGTTTCCAAGACACATTTGTCATGTTGTGGTGGTTCAGAAGCCAAGGTGGTGGCCAGCTTCTTCCTGCAACTGTGGGAGCAAACATGAATAGCAATTTTATTTTAAGATGCTTATAGTAGAATCTAGGCTAGCCCAGCTTTGCTGTAGCTGTATTGCCCTGGTAACACCAAAGGAGATGGTAATGATAGAAGGTGGCACAGCAACAGTGAGCCTTTCTTGCAAAAGGCCTGATACAGGCTCTGCGCCTTGTACGTTCTGGGCTCCCCCCAGGAGCCCACATTTTGTGAGGCTGAGTTCTGCTTCACAAGCAATGTCACCAACAGCTATAGGCTGGTTACATATCTGCTTAGGAAATGTGTGGCTGGGTGACCCTTTGATGACCCATCCTTCTGGCTCCCTCATAACCCTGCGTGATGAGATGTTCCCAGCCTGAGGGACGTCCAAAGGTGTCTCTTTATCAGCTGTGTGAAAGAACAGGCCTTGTTTAAAAAAAAATAAAATGGAATGTGCACAGACCTGAATTGCAGTGTTGCTCAAACTCTGTGTGAAGAGATAACACTGAGGAGCACCGGCTGCAAACTCTCGGAGCACTTTCCCACCCATTTTTAGGGAGTGGCCTTCAAGGAAGCGCCTCCTTCTCCAGACCACCCCTTCAGACCTCCTTCATTCCCTTGACACTCTTGGTAGCCAAGAGGGGCTGCCTTGCAGCTGGGGGGTTACTTTACATCCCCCTTCTCTTATTGCTTGAGGTTATCAGCCTGCTCCTACAAAGATCTCTCATAGCATGTGCCCGCATGGGCACCTCAGTGCTTGTGCGGACTCTCATTTGGGGGAAATTTAACCAGATCCTTTCAACTGTAGGACTATTAATTTTCCTAGTAATTTTGTGATCGTGTTCCTCTTCCCCTTTGCACGTGAGGTTTCCCCAGCTGCGTTAAAGGGACTTCTCACCCTGTCCTCAGGCACCCAAGTGCTCCCTTGGGTCAGGAAGGTGCCAGAGAAGCTCTAGGTTTCCTCCCTGCCCTCTGCCCGGTGCCTGGGGGGCGTATGGAGGGGTATGTGGAGCCCCAAAGGGTGGCAATACTGCTCGCCTGATGCACACTCTGCTTTTCCCTATCACCTCTGGGACGGAGGGAGTAGTACATCTGCTTGTAGCACCGTGCTTTGCTTTATGCTTAGAAATAAGCCTGTCCCACCAGGCTGGAGACCCGCTGTTGCTCCTTTGCAGGAGGAAGTTAGTGACGTACAAGAGCCACACTTAACCACGTTTTTCCACTTCAAAACAGAAGGAAAAATGATTTCTTTTGCTCTTGGGACAGGTGAGGACCCATGAAGGAGCCTCAAAGAGTCAGGAGGGGTGGAGGGGATGCGTGGGAGATTGCAAATGCCCAGGGAGCAGGGGGGTAGCGGGAGCATGCCAATGGACAGGCAGGAGTGGCACAGGGGCTCCCCAAAGCGATGCACGTCTGGAACACAGCCACACCACAGAGGGTCCTAAGCAGAGAGTGGAGAAATGTCTGACTAAGGACACTGTGAGCTGGGGGAGTGTGGGGCTGGGGAAGGATGGAGGTGGGAGAGCAGGTGGAGAAGTGAATGACAGCTGGAGGCTTCTCCACATGGTCCTGTGGGGCTGGTGACAAATCTTGCCCAAACCTGGAAAAACTTATTTTCTGAAAGCTATAAAGGAAGGTCAAAAATAGAGGGAACCTCAACTTCAAACTATTGCCAGGGGGGAGAGGAATGAGAAGAGGTTGACTCATAGATTGCATATAGATTATTTTGGTTTTGGTGGGGGGAGTGAACTGATTTACCTTCTAGGCTCAGAGATGAATGATGTGGTAGTGAACATATTCTCGAGATAAAAAGGGGAAGGGCTGGGATTAAATAAACACAGCCAGAAGGAGGAGTGCTAGAGACCAGGACAAAATCCAAGCAGGAAAAATAAATGAGTCAGCTGGAGGAGACAGCCGGACCGGTCTCATTTCGGATGTGGCGTGAGATGGAAATTGGGCCCTAACGTACATCCATGAGACCCTCCGAGCGCAGTTCCCGGGGCGCTGCTGGGACGGGGCCTGAGCAGGAGCCCAGCTCTGCTGTATTACATTAGCTGTGCAGGGGGGCTGGTGTTGGTGGGTGCCCTGTTTCTCCTCCAAAGCCCCACAGCATCGCACGGGCCAGCGCGGAGGCGTCCACCCCGCTCTGACCCGCAGCACGAGCAGAGTACCATGGCCTGGAGCCAGCCTCGCCGCTGTCACCGGCCACGTTTCTCCCACCACTGAGTTTTCTTAGGAATTTTTTTCTTCAGAACCATGTCTATTCAACCCAATCCTGCTCACTTGCATGAGCCCTGGCTGTGTGGTCTCCATCCACGTTCTTTGCTACTTGGCTCGGTCGCCAGCACAGTTGTAACTTCAGCCTTGGGGGGGTCTTTGTTCTCTAAAGAGCTGAAATAACGCTGCACTTTGCCCCGCGTGTCCATAGACGCTTCAGGAAAAGGGGCTTATAAAGAGTTTCAGAAGCACTGCGTGATTGAGGAAGATACAAAATATTTCAGCAGCACCATAAGAAATTAATTTAGGCAGCTTTAATGGGAAGAGAGTGGCTGTGCCTTGAAAGGTAATCCTGATGGTATCTTATTATTATTGAATCAGTGTAAATGAATGGGTTTAAAATTCAATATCCAGATTTTCTGGATTTAATCTAATGTAGACTTTCAGTTGTGGAAAGTCCGTAATTGTTCAGCGAAGCCAAAATAGATTTTCCCCTCTGTATAGTAAAGATATACAATCTCATAAACTGCATACTGAAAAGAACTCAAACTTCTTAATTTGGTGCTAATATATTATGAAAATTATTAAGACACTTTTAAATTAACACTTCCTTTAAAAAAATCTATTTGTTCCAGCTGTTTGCTTTTGCTTTTCTCTTGGCGTAGACAGTGCCTCTCTCAACCTTCCCCTGGCTCCTATGTTGTCAGACTTCCATCCTGGTTTCCAGCACAAATGGTTTCCAGCTTTCCCACCTCTCCAGGCAGGCAGGAGCACTGTCGAGCCCCTTCGTGCTCCAGTTGTTCCTGAAACTGCTTGCAGGCTGTCCAGCTTCACAAGCCTGGCACTCAGGTGCTGGAAAAAGGATTTCAGAGATGCTGTAGTCCTGCAGATCACCTGTGACAAATGTGAAATTTATTCCGTACTGAAATATCCCTGCCCAGCAAAGCTGGAGCGTTGTGTTTCGTGCTGCTGACACTGTGGAAGTGGTTTCTGGGATGCACCGGGCGAGGCAGAACAGTGTTGATTTGGGAGCCTGTGGAGGGGGTGGATTTCAGGCCACGTTTTCTGAATTAGCTAGCAAGGGAGGGGGAATGCAATGCAATAATATTTAGCTATCTTGCAAGGCGCATCAGCTAATGCCTTTTAAAGTATTTCTGTTAAAAAGAACCCACAACCCTTAAATGTTATCTTTACTTACACACTGAGGGAGCTGAACTGTAAGGAGATGACCGGACTCCCTGGAGATAAGCAAGTACATTTTATACTGTGAGAGGGGACAAGGAGCCCTGAAATGAAGCAGCGGGGGAGAGGGGGGGTGGATCACAGTTACAGCGGAGCATTTGCAGTTGCCATTTCCCCACTGAGAAACCCACCGCAGCAAAGTGGCTCCGATGATGCCTCAGACCATATCCTAGAAAAAGAGAGGGCGTGTAATTTCCTCGTGAGCAGCCAGGCCTTCCGAGGGAGCAGAGAGAGCTGTACCCCATGTACGACATCAACTGACCCTTCATGACTCCAGCCCCAAGTGATGTTTTTCAAAACTGTGACAGAAAGCCAGCTCTTCCACGCACAGCTTGGGAAGTCCAACTAGCCTCAGAGCCAACGCGGTCATAAGAGAGTAACACACAACACGATGTAACACTTTGGTACTCTTGTCTCTGTCATTCTTTCATTTATTTGTAAAAGTTGTATAAAATGCCTTGTAAAATTGGTCTGGCGAAACGGGGGAGGCTTCTCCAATGTTGACCAGGTTTCCGTCTAGGAATAATGCAGAAGTAGCGAGACTTGGATACAGAGCGAAGCCACTGAGCCTGCCTGCCAGGAAAGGCTGTCCTTGCATCACTGACATCGTGGAACGTAGTGACGTGAGCTCACGTGCACTGCTGTCCATACGCTTTATTACAGAACTTCAGCATCATGACATTGTAGCCAGCCTCTTCGCAAGGGGGGCGGGGGGTGGGGGTGGAAATCAGTAAAATTTACAAAAGCTACACTTCAAAATTTGAAACACTTTTACAAAGGAGGAAGGACAAAACTGATGTCGAAAACAGAAGCTGACAGCTTCATCTATTGCTACAGTATTACTTTGACCACTTCCAGACTCCAGCCTTGCACAAGGCAAGTCTATTTCTAGAATAACAAAAACCACAAGTTTAATAGCACCTACTGCTTTGATGAAAATGTGATGTGGGCCTTTGAATAAAGTGAAAAGGCCTCTAGTAGCATTTAGGGCTAGAGAGTGGTAAAAAAGTCAGCTGGCTGTTGGACGAAGGGCTGCAGGCACGGTGTTTTCTGGCAAAGCAGGGTTACCAGCACAGCTTCCTGGTTTTAAGGACACATTATGTACATACATTTAGATTATGAGATGTTACTACTGGGGGAGGAGGAAAAGCACTTTGCTTATGTAGAAGTTAGCGGAGGAAGGCAGGGATCTCTCCTGTAAGCAAAGAATCAGTTCAAAATTGTCCCTTTCATAAAAGACTGGCCCTTTCGCATCCCCATGGGTCAGCAAAATGAGCCAGATTCTTCCATGGTATAGCTCAAACGATCTGCCCGATTTACTCCAAAGGGAGATTCTGACTGCAATCTTTGACCTGACCTCAGTTGTGTGTGGTTTTCCTGCTGCTTCTGGCAAAGGAGCCAAAACCTGGAGCACGGGGGCGCGTGATGTGGACAGTCCCTGTCAGGCTGCTGCAGCACTGCGTCTGCTCGGCACAACTCTCAAACAAAGCTGGGCAGGCAAATTCACCACTGAACAAACTAGACAGTCTGAAGGAGGGAAAGAGAGAAAAAGCATACAGAGGCTGAACGGCTTTCAGCTCGTGAACAATACTGACAACACAAAATTAAGGCTGCTGCGAGCAGTTCTTGGTCCTTGCATTGAAAATAACCAAATTTAGTAAATTTATGCTTGTTGAAAGCATTTTCTTTTTTGAAGCAGTCAGCCAGCCAGCCGCTGCAAATGCACCTGCAATACTATCTAAAAGGCATCTGCTTTTATGGGATTATTCAAAAACCTTCAGACCTCTTAGCCAACTGAGAGCTGTTCCTCACAGATTTTCCTACCTCTCAGAAAATGTGTTCTCAAGACTTTGCTGTCATGGCTGGTAATGTCCTGGGTGTAAAATAAGGTGGGAGAGGTTTTCCATCCATTTCATTAAAGAATGGGATAAGCAGGGAGGGAGGGATACCAGAGCTCAGGTCCATGCAGATGTGGTGTGGAGGGAACCTTGGCTCCATCTGCTCGCCTTACCCAGTGCCAGGCCTGGTACCAGTGGGCCAAGGCCAAAGGGGAAGAAGTGGCAGAAGCCCTGTCCAAGGCTCTCGCTAGTTCCTGCCCGGCCTCTCCTACCACACCTGCTTCCCAGGAGTTCGGAGGAGCCCTGGTAAAATGCCATCTACTAAAATAAAACCCTCTTGTCAAAATACTTACAGGTGCAAAATTTGCCTCAGTAATTCCAGAATTAGAAAATGCAGTTTATGTAGTAAGTCTTCCTGCTATCACCTGACTAGCCATGCCTTACAGTAAGGTACTTTCTCTTCTTGGTTCTGGATATAGCACCGGCAGTTAAAACAGAGGTAAAGTTGCTTCAGAGAGGCGCAGCACTTCTGCTGGAACACAGGAGTAGGGCACTTGTGAGTCTCCTTTTCCCCTCCGTTCACATCTTGTGTCTTCAATGAGCTCTGCAAGCTCAAGCTTGCTGTAGCATGGAGGTACTGCTCAAAAAGTTGACTTGACCAAATGGGAAAGAGTTCTGTAGACAGCGATGTCACATCATCTACAGCAGTTCTCTCACTCTGAAACGTGAAAGCTGTGATCAAAGACAGGGCAAACACAAGTGAACTAAGGGGGAAATTCTCCTCTTTCTCCTTTCCTCCACCTCTAAACCTGGGTGGGAGAAGGTGGTATATTATGAAAGACAGTGTCGAGTGCTGTGCCTGGCATACAAAACAGAGTAGATGATTGGACAGATCACTGCAAAGGAATTCCTAAGCCAAATTTAAAAAAAAATGCACAAACACTTTAAAAAATAATCACTGTACAATCACAATGTAAAAGGAACATAAAGGGACTTTTTCTGTATTCCACATATTCTGGCCACCCTTCCCTCCCACCCCATCCCTCATAAATCCATTTCTGCAAGGTCTGGGAAGCTTTACATCCTCAGAGAGTGAGTGAATGGTGGTGGGCTAATACTGTTAATTTATGAGATCCTGGAGCTCCTCATCAGTCAGCTCGTTGACTTCCATGATCTTTTCCAAGTGCTCCATATACCGGGCATGGTCTTGCAAAAAGTGTGGTACCCTCATGTTCTCAATCACAGCTAATCCTTTCAAGCGGTCCACGTCCTCATACGAGATCTGTAAGGAAGGACATGGGTTAATTTTGCACCATAGTCCTGTTACTTCTCTGCTGCAGCTCTAAATTCTCTCTTGTAGATGAGAAGAGATTTTAGAGAAGGGGGATTTAAAAGCTTGTGAGAATCCTTTGAAAACATGAGCAACTGTGTGCCTCAATGGAAGATGCAAAAAAATGTAATTTTAGCAAATGCCTCCATACTTCCTGATTCTGCTTTTGATTCAGTGAACAGACTCATAGGAATGAAAATGACCTACAGCAGCTGCAGGAATAGGGAGGGAAAGGATGGAGCACATGTGAGTCTGAAGAGTCTCTTCTCAGAGAGGTGGAAAGATTGACACGAGAATAGAAAAAACCACCGCACCAAGGCACTAGAAAGGGAGTGTGGGACAGGCATGGCACGAGAAGCGGGCAGACTCCAGCTTTGGGAGAGGCACGGTGCCAGCTCACCTGAACTCTGATGTTTTCATTTTCACTAGCAAATGGGCTTATGCAACGCTAAATTAAAATGCACCTCTGGTAACTAACTACAGCATGGGCAACCCTTAAGCATCTCAATTTTATTATTTTTTTCCCCATTCAGTAGCAGGGCGGAGATAGGGTTTGCCTCTTGGCATCAGATCCTTCAGGGTACAGGTGTGACACTCTCAAACATTTTCCAGCTACTCCAGGGTCTACTACTTTTTTTTTTTTCTAATGAAAGCTGAGATTTTTCTCCATAGTCTTATGATTCTATGAGCTAGGATTTCAAGTCTTGAGCTCACAGTAGCTCAAGGTGCTGTGAATGATGGTCAACAGGATGAATGCTTTGGCTGTGTAACAGCTACGTAAGCTGCCCTGCAAGCACAGAACAGGACTCCTTGGGCAGCTATCCAGTGGGATGAAATTTATGTGGTTGCCACTTTGTCTACAAGCTGCGTGTTCTGGGCACCCTACAGACAGAAGCATATGTACTGGAAAAACCACATGCCTGGCTGTGCTTACTAACTGGCACAGCCTATTTCCTCGCAGCAGGTTTGGGGCAGGTGGCTTGACGGTGGAGCTCCTTCCAGCCTTTTTATCCCACGTTTCTTCTAAGGAGCAGAGCACTGCTCAGTCAGGTTTCCCTGGAAACAGCCTGCCCTCTTAGCAGGTGATGGTTTCTATTCGGAAAAGATTAAAGTGAGCATGAATGATCCACCAATGTGTAAGGGACATGGAAGGGGTCTCTGGTAAGACAGGACAGTCTAATCCAGATTGCTAAACCTGATCCATAGAGGCAGAGACAGGTGCACATCTTGCTGATGATAATGGGAGCAAAGTTGACAAAGAGAATGAATTGGCATCTGAGTACACACGTGTGCTTTTCTAGCTGCAGTGACAAGATGGATCCTGATTGAAAAAAAAAAAAAAAAAACAAAAACCAAACATACATCCATGTCCAGGCTTATTCAAGTCACTAAGATACTGCTGTTTCAAGATGGTGTTGCATTACACCTGATTAACATATTTAGAAGTAGATACAGAGAAGCTATACAAAATCATGCCATCTCCTCTCAGTCTGGAGTCACAGCACCAAACAAGATTAAATATTGACCTTCTCTCCTGTCCCAGCTTGAAATTCTACCTCTTCACCTCCCAAACAAAGGAAAGAGGAAGAACCCTTTCTCCCTCATATTTATGTTCACGCATTTCTGTTACTGCTGCAACCAAGAAACAAGTACCTGTGATTCCGAGGTATGGTCTGAATGGGATGGTTTTCCCTAGTCCTTGCAATTGCTAAAAAATGACAAAAGTTGGCATCCTCAGGAGATCATAAACATAATCTCATCCTACTGTGACAACAGGTTTTCTTCCTTACCACATGTAATTAAAATAACTGTACTAGGTAGAGAAGACTGAGGCTAAACCAGGCTTACTTAGCCTCTTTGTAACCTCTTCACGTGCTTGGGAAACACAATAGTAGGTGACATTTCACTGCTTTTGCTTTTTAAAACTCTGGCAGTTATGCTATACTGACGTGCACCCAGTATCTGCATTCTGTTTCTATTTAATATTACTTGCATGTGACTACTAAGTGAATGTTTTGCAGTGCTTCCTGTATGCGATTCTTTCCTGCTAAGTTTTAAAACTGTTCCTTCTAAAAAGCGTATTTTCTCAGGCTTCAAGCTCTTTCCTTAGTCACTTCTAGGTATGCCAAGCAGCTTCCATGTGTTCTGTTCCCATGCACCGCTCTCTTCTAATGTAATGTCAGAAGCATCAGGAAGGCAGAGCTGCCTCCATCAGCCAAGTATCTAGCACTCAGATGAGAACAGAAGACACAGAAACTTCAGCAGGGCTCTGTCTTAAATACATTCATATGAGAAAGCAGTGCTCTGATTTTACAACTGTGTTAACTACCTACTAGAGCATAAAAGCTATTTGTTGTCAGCAGTACAGTTGGCTGCTTTTGTTTCCTATTATGTTCATACCTTTATTGTATTTGCAATGACAATATGCCCAGGGTGGGCATGCTGAGAAAGATGAGCTCTCTTCTTACAGTACAACACTGAGAACCTTCAAAAGGCAGTGAAAATTTTCCCACTAAATGCTGGGCTTCCCTATGTTTAAATCCCATGCTTTTTCTTCGAACTTGGAAGACACGCCCGCTGATCTTAATACACCCTTTGGAACAACCTGATCCTGCTGTTCCACTCTAAACAAACAAATAAATCCCCCTTTAGAGTAGTGATAAATCCGTAATAACCACAGGCTAGATTTCAGTGCAAGTTTCATATTTCCCTACACTCACAGAATATGCTTTTCCTAAGAGTACTGGAGATACTGAAGTGGGCCCAGTGAAGGGGTCACTAAGGTGAGTAAGGCACTGGAGCATCTCCCCTATGAGGGAAGACTGAGAGAGCTGGGACTCTGCAGCCTGTTCAACCAGTGTGTACAGACACCTGATGGGAAGGAATGACAAGAGAGTCGGGCTCTCCTCAGCAGTGCCCACTGGCAGGGCAAGAGGCAGTGGGCACCAGTTGAAATGCACAAAATTCCGTCTGAACACAAACCACATTTTTGTGGTGAGGGTGGTAAAATACTGGCACAAGCTGCCCAGAGAGGTTGTAGAGTCTCCGTCAGTGGAGATATTCAAAGCTCAACTATTTATGAACTGTGGAAACTTAGCAATCCAAGGATTTGGTTAAGGAAGTTTGACAAAGTTTCTGCGCTTCTTAGTATGATTTTGAGAACAAACAAACAATGACAGAATGGACATAAAATATGTTCTGTGAATGTAGAAATACCATGTGTTCTGGGAAAAAATACAAGCTGATTTTTGAAAAACATCAGAGGTGCCATCAGTGACAGAAATTTGAGATGAAAAACTCTTTGTGGTAGAAGGGGATGTGTTAACATCAAATGGTTAATTTTGTTTTCTACTAGGACCACCACCTTATCTAGCCCCTGTCCCGCCTGCCCAAGGTGGTTTGTTGTACTGCAAATCAGATAGTACCCTGTAAAGGGAGGACAGGCCAGTCTGAGAAATATGACCATAAAATCTTAATCTGATAAGTGAGGAATGAGGAAAAGCTGGCAGAAATTTTTAGGACCTCAAACTATTTGTAACTTGCACTGTGTAATACAAGGTGCTGTAAGGAACAGAGATTTCTAGATCAAAGCAAAACAGAGCACAATGACTCATAGCTCTTTACAGGCAGGCTTGCTGAAATGATAAAACTGTACCCTTTGTTAAGAGTGAGTCCGCTCACCTTTCCAAGGGCTGTCAGAAGATGGAAATCAATGGACTCCCTGTATCTCAGGATTCGGAGGATGCCATCCAAGTACACCTGATCCTTATTAAAACAGCCTAGAAGGAATCAAGATACACGGCGCTCTATCAAAGTTTGTTTGAGGCATATTCTCAGAAGCCATTAAGAGCAAAACAATTTTATTTTTAAAAACTAGATATTTATATCCCAGACTTTGAAAACCTTCCCAAAGAGTAACCAGAAGGCTATACCTGCTAGCCAGAGAAAGAAATCAAACACAGAAGATGGTGTATGTAAATATCCACACCACTATTACATCTCTTGTAATAAACATGAAAGGAGGTCAAACTGGGAGTATGGACTTTTTCACTGTTTTTCAATTCACATTCCCACTTCCAGCAAAAAATACTCATTACTGCTTCAGTTTGAAAGTCTTACGGATGTGCATTCACAGCCTTGTTTTCAATAGCAGAAATCCTGCTGCCTCATTTCAGAAAGTGCAGAGTCCCATTTCTCCCTTTTGCAATGGTTTTACTCTTTGACATGACAAAGGAGCTCTGTGCATGTTCTGAAAACCTCCCTGAAGTATAAAAACAGAGAAGACAAACAGGGAACCCACCTGGTTGTGATGTGTCAGTCCACCCTCTCTTGGCTCGTACGCAGTAATCCCACCTAGTATTGGGGTCCTTGACAAATTTCCCCACATCCTGGAAAAGCTGACTGAAGGACATCTGGCTAGCCTGATATACTGTGTAGTAGAGCAGGGCAGCTCTCCAGAGAAAAGGGTCTTTGCGGAACAGGACACTGTGAATGCTTGCTAGCCCCTCTTCTGTAGGGTTGATTGGTTTTAATCCATGTTTTCTGCGTCCGTTCCAGTTGCACCAAGGCTGACTGTTGTTGTTAAAACCCCGAAAATAATGAGTTCCTGAAAGGAAAGCAATATGGGACTTAGACCAGTAGCATCTAATGATTAAAAAAAAAATTATAAAATATGGAAGGAGATGCCCATTTCAGAACTCTGAACTGGTAGGACTGGGCACTGGGAAAAGTGCCAACTTTAGCCTTGTCTACAACAGAGGGTTTTGTCAGAGGTAGATACACAGTGCAATTATTCACCTGCTGACTGCAAGTGGCACTCCCAAAAATGCCTAGGGAATACAAATGTTAGCAGGGCTTGAGCTCCCAAATACGTGGAAAGGTATTTACAAAACTATCTCACATACTGAATGCCTCCAGCATAGGTGAGGCATTGTAGTGAACAGAAGGAAGGAGAACCAACGTGAGGGGCAGAAATGTTGCCTCTTGAAGTGATGAAACAGCTCTACTGTAGCCTTGGAAGACACTATGCCCCCTTACAATATGAGTAACGGTGGTTCAAGGCAATTGCAGGGCTTGTTCTTCAGTTGAAATTCAGGTACTAGCTAAGTTTATCCAGTTTTCATGTACTTAATTAAAACAGATTCACTGAAAAGTTTGTAGGAATTTTCCACTGGGCTGGGCCAACCTTGTATAATGCAAAATCAAGGCAAAATTACACCAGTTTAGCAGTTGCAGGGCAAATCCTTTGTATCTAAAGCATGTCTACATTTGCAAGCAGTGCAGCATAACGGATTTGTAAAGTGAAATGGCTGGTGCTAAGGTTGAATGGTCACTCTATTTTTGTTTCCTTTTTTTTTTACTCCAGACTAGCTCTAAATTGCTCTCATGAACAAAATGACCCTGAGCAGAGACAGCACAAAGGTATGCCCTGGAGCACAGCCTCTGGGCTAGCATCACCTGAAAGGATTACACTTTGCCTGCTCCAGGATTCCTCTGGCATGTGAACCTCAGTGCAGTAAGTGGGACTAGCTAGTAAACTCACTTCAAAAGCTTGCTCCTGATCTGGCCTAAGATGCTAATGTACATGAACCCTAGGAATCCTCAAGTGGATTAGCTTCCTTTTACTGCATGCTGCAGTGATAAATAGGTTTCTCCTTCCCTTTAGCACACCTACAGCACATCTTCTTTAGACAGGGACACTCCCTCCTTCTGTACACATACAGTGCCTGGCCCATCATTGCAAAATAAATAAGAAGGCATGCAAGTACTCCCCTTTGCCTGAAGAACTGATGTCATGCTCATACCAATTTCATGTCTCAGCATCCCTTCCAGCCAGTGCTCTCGCGCAGTGGAGATATTGATAGTGAGAGTGGGGCGGCCATTCACCACTGTCATTGAGGCTCGAGATAGCAGGTCCTCCGTGAGATGGACCACAATCTGAAGATGAGAGAGTTCAGGTAGCAAAGAGCTCTCTTCTCGCTCTTGTTCCTGCTTTTTTCCTTTGGCCCTTCCATTATTTCATTTCTCTTTGGACCCTTGCCTTTCACAACTCGTCCTTGCTGCCAGCAATCATCTATGAGAGACGCTTCTGACTCCACTCAGCTATCCTAGTCACCTGTGCTGCTGACAAAACCTCAGACCTTAGTGAGACTTAGCACCAGGGTTAAGATAGACAGACACAAGACTGCAAAATTTAATACAGAAACACTGACATGATTCGGGCAGTGGGGAACAATCACATGCAGAGCAAATTAGAGAAAATTCAATTTTTTGGACTGTGTCTAATTAGTTCGGTTTTACTGAGAACTGAAAAATATTAGATAAGCACACACAAATTGTCTAGGTATCTATATACTTAACTGTCTGAAACCTTTTCAGTTGCAATTCTAAAGCCACAGGCATGAGAGAGGGAAGCACTGTGTACTTTGTTTCCTGATACATGATGCAGACTTGAAATATTATTAAAATACTGGTATGGTTTTATTTTGTTTTATACAGGAATGTAGTTCTTTTTTTCCTGTTTTCTCTTGCAAAATTGGTAATCAAAACAAAAACTGCCAGAGGAGGAAATGAATGCACATGGATATGTTTTGTTATTTGAATTTAAGAAGACATTTTAAACAAATGACTTGGAGGGAGAAGGGAAACACTTTGTTAAAGACTGAGCACTTCTCCCTCTTCACGTAACACCTAAAGAAACAGTACTGCTCAGAAGAGTACAAAGGAGAGTACCTACAAGACAGAGAATTTTTTTTCATGTCAAAGTTAACAAAAAAGGACCCAGGTATCAAAGGCATTAACATGACACTTCCCTGTTCTCAAAACCCACCATTCAGTTTAAAGTACAATGGCAAACAATCAGTCCCATAAGACTCGTATTTAACATGCAGGAAAGGTAAATCCCAAAGCCTTCAGATTTTAAGCACAGATACCACTTGGCTGTATTAAAATCTCCTCAACTGGAGTGAGTATTTTCATAGTATTTTAGATGATACTATACATGATGTATTAACCCTATTTTTGCAGAAAAAGTAAAGCATTTCTTTAAGGAGGATATGGGATGTTTGATGAGGGTGGAGGATCCTGCTTCCATGAAGACAAACCAAGAATGAACACAAAGGGAGATAAAAGCACCGCAAAGACCAAAAATACATTTTTTTTTTTGCTTGTTCTAAACTGTAGTTTTACAACCTCACTCTTAGAAACACAGGTTAAGTCTGGTATCAGTGTCAAATTACAGTCTCCCAAAATGGTGTGATGAGTTTAATTGTTTTTCCTAATAATATTGTTTAGTAATTAAACCTGGTTTCTGGGAAAACAATTTTTGTCTCTTGATCTCCCATTCCAGACTCCTCTTGCTCACTGCCAATGATCTCATCCAAATCTTGGACTGTGTCAGCTGGTGTTTTCATTTGTAATAATTCTCTTTTTACACATTCAATTTATCTGACTCTTCCAAGCAATTCTGTGTAACTCAGTCAAGTGGGCTTTTAAAATCCTGAATACAGGAAGTAAATTTTTTGCACAGAGCTCTAAAAAATTAGATGGTTAAAGTCAGAAAAATCCAGCATTCAAACCAACTCAACAAGCCAACCTCTTTCAGACATTTTTATTCACTTATGTCACTTTCATTTGTGTTGCTTCTTATGAATCAGTCTCTTGGGCTGCTGCTTATTTTTCTTGGCCTTTTCTTAACTCTTTTCTTTAGTGTAAATAATTTGAAACAAGAGAACGGATGGCAGAACTGATGAATAAATGGAAATGTGCTAGTCTCCAAGTAGCTGAAAAAAGGAGGGAAGGAAGGGTGTCGTTCTTGGGTACTCCCATAAGAGGTGAATTTAAGAACAAGCATATATGAATCAGGAAACAGGCTCAGAGAGATGGCTGAAGCATTCACAGGGAATTTGCACCATTTCAATTGTTCAAATATTAGACCGGGCACAGCTATGAGAAAAATATAACGTAAGGAATGTTCGTGTAATTATGGAGGAAAGGCCTCCCAAATGGTCTCGCAGGTTCATCCATGTGTAATTTCTAACCTTTGCGTTAATGTTTCTTTCCTGATCCAGTGTATGACTTACCTCACCAAGACAGCCTTCCTTCACCATATATTTCCTGACGTGATTCCAGATGCGACTTTTGGTTAGCAAGCTGCCTCCAGTGGCCTGTTCAAATTTTTCATAGCTTCCATACTTCTGCAATGTCCGCTCCATGATGTTAATGGACTATAAAATACAAAAGCATATCAAATATGAATGCAGTAAGGCCCCTGTGTCAGACTGGCATGTGTATTCTTTCTCCTCCTCTCAATCTTTCTCTCTTTTTAAACAATCTTTCTTCTTTTTTTAACTCATTGGGCATCACTATCAAACTGTAGTCATACAGGCTGACACACTCTGTAATCAATTTATATCATCTTCAGACATACATTAATGCCAAAGTACTGAAATAATATTCTGATCAACTCATCCGGGACCCACATACATCATCATGACACAGATGACTATCAGTCTAGTGAAATAATACCCATTTTCTCTTGAATTTTGGGAATGTTGTAAAACCGCCTTGTAAATCAGACATAACAGGTCACAAGGACATTTGCAGTTTAAGTTGTCAGCATGTTTCTTTTTTTTATGGTTTTCCAAAGAATTTTACAAAGATCAACTATTACTGTCATCTCACTTCATTTCTTGGTATTTTCTAATTTAGGAATGCTGAACCATGATTAAGCAGATGTGTAACTCTAATTTTGACGATAATATTTCTACCAAAAATGTCTTCTTACGATGAAATCCTCTGTACCATGACTGTCTGTTTCAGAAAGGAGGAGAGAGAACAGGAATTTTATTCACAGAACTTTCACTCAAACCTTTCATTTAAATCCCAATACTTATTTATAACCCCCCAAAATGAAGGAGACATGTTTCATTAGACAAATAAAGTCACGTAAACAATTCTCTTGCATATTGCTGCTAGAAGGTGGCCCTTGTGGGTGGAAAGCAGAGCACAATGCCTATAACATGATCTGAACTCTGCATGTTGCAGATGTTACTGGTGAGGTGTGAAATGTTCATCCCCAATAATCTACTTCCCAACATGTCATTTCACACCCTTAAAAGAAAATGTGGTATAGAATAACTTCTTGCCCAGCTACAGGGAACAGCTTTTTTCATAGATATAATAGAAGTTCCCAAGAATCTCATAGAGAAAATAGTATTACTGACATTACCTTAAAAAAATTAATGTTCTTGCTAAGAAAATACCACTAATGACAAAGGTGGAAATCTTGCAGACTGAATCTCTTTTTACACTGTACACCTATGTCCACGCATGAAGCTGCTAACACTTGTTTCCAGCCATGTAATTCTGACATTGCCAGACGTTTTCGTCCATGAAAATAGGATTCATTTTGTATCTCACAGCCACTAACAATACTGTTCTAATTTTTTTTCAAGTTGAAACCAAGCAACCTTGAGTAATTGCTAATGAAAGCCATAGAGGATACACCCTCATCTGGTGCAAACTGGGTAGCTCTGGCATCATTTTGCTGACCTGCTGCTGTAGGTATTTGACAGAGGTTCAGTGCTGTTATTTTCACTGTTACTCCCATTAACTTATTGCACAGAAATATGAGTAAGGACAACTATACATCTGTACTGGTGACCTACAAGGTACATGGGACTTTGGTTCCCAGTAACTTCCCTACACATTAGGTCTTGTACAAATGCATAGGTGTGGCAGGGCCTAAAAGATTATAGAAAGAGATTAAAGAGGTCTATGTCAGTAAATAATAATTTTTTCTTGTGTTGATCAGATAAATGAAGCAAGGTTTGTGTCTAACTAGTAAAAGAAGGAATACATGAACCCTTCACGCAAGGCCTAATGTTTCTGGAGACTAATGACAATTGCTTCTAGCAAAATTTAGGATCAAGGACTAGATGTAGAGAACAAATCAGAGCAAAATCTAGTTCTTTTTTAATAGCTTGTATATTTTCCCAAAGGATTTTTCCTTTTTTTTTTTTTTTTTTTTTTAAATTACATAGGAATTTTTAACATTTTCTGTTTTGGAAGTTTTTCGGTGTCTGCAAATGCTGTGAGGCATTTTCCTGCCTTACACAAAATCCTTGGTTAAAGAAGCAACCCAAAAATTCCTGCCCCCTGTCCCAGGAAGTTTATTCTTAGTCAGCAGCCTGAGTAATTAATGATAACAGTTCTTCAGTTTGCTTTGCAAGGTGCCAAATCCTTAAGGTATTTATGTTACCTACTAGCTGTTTGGTGTATCTAGTTTCTCTGAATAATTAACTTTATTTGCTTACTCTGAAAGAAATTGTCCCTGAATTAATCTTCTGGCATTAAATTTGTCTTCACAACTTGCTGATATTAAATTTCAATTAAGTCTGTTGGATTAAACACAGCAAGTACCCACTCAAATTCTTGGACACTTAATTTCCTTTGAATGTGCACCAGTGATTTCCATTCCTAAAGAGACTTGCTGCCCAGCAGCACCACGTTTTGTCTGCTGAACCTCTTCCTTTTCTCCCCATCACTTCCTGTGGCTAATTTGATCTCTCATTAATAAATTCTGGGGAAAAAAAAAAGCATTACAATTAATAGAACTTTATAAAAATCACAGTGAGATGAAGAATTAAGATGCAATAGAGCTTGTCAGAGAACCACAGTCCCTGGGGTAGCTATGCTACAGAGTGTTGCCCGAACCCTCACTCCCCAGGATATGTTCTATATCTGGCTGTACAGAACGGTAATTCCCCTCAGAAGTTTTCAATAATGTGATTTAAAACACAATAGATACTGTGAGTGGAAATGTTGGGCTTTACATTCTCTGAAAGTTATTTACTGCAGGAGCTGATGCAGGAATAGATATTATTTTCAAAAGCCACCAGGATTTGGTCCTTTCCTTTTAAGGGTTTTTAAGCCATCTTTCAGAAATTATCCAGCACTCAGGCTACATCTCTCTACTAGTAAATCAAACAAGGCAGGATATTGGCTCAAGTGCTGGAGGAGGGCGGGGGCTCCATCCATTGAACTGAATGCTTCGTAGGCCCCCAGGCATGGTGTTGCCTTAGGTGAACCAGCACTCCTCGCTCAGGCAACACCTGGCCATTGCCAAAGGATTGTGTAGCTGTTGGGTTCCCAACCGAAATGGGAACAAGGTCACTACATTTTGATGCCTATCCTGCCTCTCAGCAAACCAAATATCAGGCCCAGTTCAGTTTCATATCGAACAATGCGAAAAAGCTTTTCCAACAATGTGATGGCAAAGCCTTTGGATGGAGAAGAACAGGTGAGTGAGATTCACAGACTGAAGGAAGCCAACAGAGGTAGCAAAAGATAAGAAGTAGGCTTAAAGAATAGGAAAGATACTTCACGTACTTTTTGAAAAGTGTAGGATAAATCTAGAGTGCTGGTGAAAGTCGAGTAGGAGTGGATGAGAGCAGGTCTGATGAAGCAGAGGACTGCCAAAACCATATGAGAGCAAGGGGGCAGTTTCTTCTCAACATGCAAGCTCATAAAAATAAGGGTGTTTGAGAATGGCCTGTAAACTTCATTAACCAGTTCTGTTTTGACGCAGTTCATAAAGACATTACTGCTACGAGATGTCACCTTATGTAGGTTTATTTGGTGGTGTGACCCCAGAGGATTCTCCTACCTTAGTAGGAGTGCAGGTATTTTCTAAAACCACTTCATCACAACAAACAGTGAGAAAATGAGCACTGGACACACATTAAACTTCCTGCTTGGCCATCTGTAACAGCAAACTCCCTGGAGCTGGGACCTACATGTGCCACAGGATGCCACGTGAGTTTGGGAGTCAGGAGGCCCAAGTTCTAGCTCCTCCTGCTTGGCTGCAGGCACCCTTCTGAACTCTTCTTAGGCTGTTTAAGGCTTTTCTGAAAATGCTGTGAGACACCTACCAGAACAATATGAAGAGCAGGTTTTCAGAGATACATCCCCCTGAAGAAGCACAGACCCATTCTGGCCCCTCCTTCAACCCAGTCCACGGTTTGGAGCTTCAAGAGAGGAAGGGTGGGATACTGAAGGGTGCTTCTGCTACTGTATGTGGCATGCTGAGCAACCTATATACTGGCAGTTCAGCCACCTCCAAATAGATACTGCAAGTTTGAACCCATGCATATTGAGAAAGTCACTAAGCCTAAGCCTCCTCATTGCTGAACACATAATCTCTTGGTTAGGAAATTACTAAGGATGCTCACCACCATCACTTTCTCCCTCAACCCCGTTTCAAGCAAAACAGAAGAAGTCCTGATCGTTCTTTCGAAGTGGGTGGGTGTGACTCTGGAAGCACTGAAACTACAGGGAGAGCCATCACACACGCACCTTGCCACCAGCACTCTGGGGAGTGGCAGATGGCCCCAGCACCGAGATGGGCCTCATCCCCAGTGATGCTGCTGGTTTTGACACTTCTTGCCACAACCACCCCAGCTGGTGGTAGTTCCGGAGGGGAAAGGGCTTGGGATATTTTTGGATCCCAGGCACTGAATACAACACAGAGCATCTCACTTGGTGTTTTGCACCCATCTCTGAGGTGAGATGACTCAAAGTCGGGTGTTGCAAGAACTTGCTGGGAAAGGGGAAAATCCAGACCAGCATGACAGCTCTTGCCTATTTCAGAATCCAACTGTGAGCTTATTTTCCAGCCTCTGGGCCAACAGAAAGCAAGGTACTGATATTGCCACAGTTCCTGAGGCCAAACTGTAAACTCTTCAGCAACAGGTAAAAAAAAGGAAGAAAAGAAGGACTTTGTGGCTTTACCATGTTACTAGTTAGGAGAACTAATTCCTGTTCTTTTCATTACTATCTAGAAGATCTGGTTTAATCCCTCTTACCACTACTGAAGAGTGCCAAAAGAAGCAGTGGTCCTAAGACCCCTTGCACAGCAAACTCCGGTGATGTTCAAGCAAGTAATGACACAGAAGTGAGACTAATTAGACTAACTAAGCAACACTAACAAGAGTGAGACAAGGCTCTAATTGACAGGTTCAGGTTGTGATGGTGTTGGCTTTTTTAAACAAATTATTTACAGAGAAGTAGGTCTCTGAATCCCAAGTCACCCATGTGCAGCAACACAGCTTAGTTACTTTAGAGTTACTGTTAAATACATGTACTGCTAAGATATCCTCATGAAATGTTTGAGGCAACCAAGTTAAAAAACAGGCTCCATCAGTCCCCTGTGTTCAGGCAGCTCATCCCACATTCAGAAGCAGCCCTGCTACAAAAGGGTTGCAGTCTCTGTTGCAAATTGTGAGACAGACAGGGCTTGCAGGCACCATCACCTTCTGCCCTGCGTAGCTTATATGCTGGGAGGGAGAGGTTCCCAGGTGCATCTTTAGGCAACACTAAGATGTACCAGATGGAACGTGTTAGTCCAATTGACAGCCATAACATGGTGGCCGCCCTTCTTTTTGGGTGAAGTGGGAAGGAGGGAGAGAGGTAAGAGCAGATTTTTGAGGCTAGGCTGCAGTATTTTATTCAGTGTTTACAGTGGCATTTCTTTTGCATGCTTGCTCTCAGGGTGATAAAGAGCATGTTTAAGTAATTTAGAGCTGGTAGAAATATTTGTAATGAAAAACCTTTCAAATACTTCGTAAGGCATTAAAAAATTAGTACTGGCTAGGTTTTTGTATGAGACTGTCCTGAATTAAACTGATGTTCCTACTGTAGCATCACCAGAAGCGATCTACAGTCTCTTCTAGTGAAAGAGAGAAGTTCGTGTAGGCCCCTGAGAACTCATGCTACTCGGATAGCCTGATATGCTTTGTGTTATAGATTAACACACTTTATCTATAAATCTTAGTTTAGGAGGGTATTTGTTACTAGTGGAGAATGAGGTGTTTTACAATTAAGTGCTTTTCATAGCTAGTAACACATTCTTGAATCTTCAACATGCCTAAACCATGACATCATCTGTACTCTGCAAAGGATCACTCAATGTTGAATGCCATGTTGACTAGACCCCCAGCTCCACCTATTTTGCCAACATCTGATAAATTTTCTAATTGTAGGCTACTTGTAGTAATGACTTAAACAAACACTCGCAATGTGGCACAACTGGTTGACTTATTTATTAACTCAAAACTGCTATATTTTTATGACTACAAGGGAAAAGGATGTACAACTCACGGGGAGGATTACTCATTCAACAAAATGATGATTTAAAAAAAAATATGTATATAATGATAGACTTCCACTCTTCATCTACAATTCAAAGAAACAGGAGTTAACATACAGGTTACTTGACGTTGCAACTCCATCGCTGATTTTGGTTCAGCAAATTGCAACCGTTAAGTCATCCGCTTTGCAAATGTGGGGAACAAATACTTCTAGTTAAGTATTGCCACCTCTGTGCAAAAATAACAAACACTTTAAGTGTTAAGAAAACTTAAGAATGAAGAACAAATAGTATGAGCCAGGAGTGCTAATAAGAAAACATTCACAGCACTTAGAGCACACCCTTGCTGCACTGACCTTGAAACACAGCAGTAAGAGAAGTAATTTGTGTAATATTATATATGTTAATCAATGTGAAAAGCTGCAAGTCCACATACTATTTTTGACTCTCAAGTTCTCTTCCCTAAAGGCACATATTATGTGACTCATGAAAGAACCTTATTATGAAGAAAACAAGATAAAGTAGAAAGAGAGAAACAGAACAAAGCATGAGAAGAGAGACATTAAAAATATTATTTTCAAATGCATTAATAATTCAAAAAATGTTTAGTCTATGTCTGTGCAATGTCAATCAATAGAAGTGTTGGGCTGTGCCCAAGGTTTCAAATCTTTGATCTGAGGCATGGGGGTGAAGTGGGTGCTCACAAGCCTGTGCGTTCCCCATTGTAGCACTGCTGCATTAATGGTTTGCAAACGTGCAGTGTTCTTTGCCTATAAAAATAAATGGGGCAGGGTGTGATTCATGTTCCAGATATGTTGCAGTAACGCTACATTAACCAATTCCACAGACGTGCACAAAAGCAGAAAGGGCAATAAGAAAATACAATCTGTTTTAATGTCCTAACAGGCTATGCACAGCTGTGGATAAAAATATTTTTGAAATTATTAAAACTCCTCTAAAATTCTGAAATATCAGATTTTGAGCTCATTTCACTGAAGTATCCTGAAAGCCCCCTATAAAATCTGTAAGTTCTATCAGTAAAAAGCTGGTTTTACAGCTATATTAGTCAAACAAGAGCAAGCAAGTGTAAGTTGCTGCAAGCATCTTTTATAGAATGTAATAGGAATAATTCCATTTTGGTTCACAGAAAGCAAAGCCTCCTAAAATAAGTACAGCAACAAATGAAAGCCAAAAATGTTTAAAAAAAAAAAAAAAACCAAAACAAAATTGAATTTATCCGTGTCACAGGAAAAAGGATGACTACCAACAGTTGTGTCTTTGCTGCAGACCCAAATCTAGACACTGTAAGTACTTCTTTTGCAACTGAAGTCATCTTTCTTGAACTTAACACTTCCTATAAGATACCTACGTGTTTCTTCTGACAAGTAAAATCTTCATGGAAAAACAAAAATAGAACTGAGGAAAATCAAGTGATAATACAATATTTGCTGATTAAAATTTTGATTAATGTTGCTTTTTCTGGATAGTAAATTTGCATGAAATGAAATTCAAATTTGAGTGGAGATGAAAACTTCTAAAGCTAGGTGTAGATCAAAAAGAGACAGTGCCACCTGCTGGGCTTGGAGCTGTGTTAAAGCTGCTTTTTTAGTCATTTATATGAAGTGCAAGGCGTTGTTCAGTATTTTTAGGAGCTGAACTTTGAAGAAATGTTTTTCTTGCTAAGAACTTCTGTAATTGAAACTAAATCTTACAAAACAATTTACATCCTCCTTGGTAAGTTTCAGAAATATCATATTTCATTGAATATTAAATCCTTCACAGCTTTTCAAAAAGTTGTTACAAAGCCTTTATTTTCCCATGTTTTTTATGTAAAGGGAAAAAGGTAGAGTTGGAAATCAGAATTATACTGAGGAATCATTCATTATTAAAATATTTATTATTTAGGCATGAGTTTTTTTAATTAAAAGAAGGGTAAATCAGTGACAGGCCAGCTCCATAAATTCATCATGCATAAAATAATTTTCAAGGCTCTGCTACCTCATACATCTTTGTATTAAATTCTGTTTGGCAAATTAGTTGTTATTGATTTGCTGTAATCTATGATTAATGTTGCTAATATTGCTATAAAAATGCAAGGAAAACTTGCTAGAAAGCTGTAGTCAAGGAGTAGTTTTATTTGGTGTCAGTATGATTTAGTTAGTTGTTTGAAGTATGGAACCTGACTTTAGGAAATGAACAACTGTTCTCTGTCCTCATAAAGAAAATAAATTCTTCATGAGAATCCAGCTGCTGAGTTTTTAAAATATACAGATATTTTTAATGTGAAAATGCAAGTCCAAGCCTTACAATATAATGACATAATGGGTAATAGCACCTACGTTCATTCTTGGATTTGGAGGGAAAAAAAAAAAAATAAAAGTCAGACTCTTCACAAGTCAAGGGTCAATTATTAGAATCCATGGTACTTTAATTCTTGTACCCTTTTCATCAGGAATTTTGTGGGGTTTTAAGTGAAATATTTGTATCACTAAGAAATGAAACTCATGAAATGGCAGGATTTCTTCCCACATAACCCTTGAAACATGAGATTCACTATTTAGAAAAGCTTGTCAGACTTAAATAAGATCTTTCTAAACAATTTTAAAATAGCAAAAGTGGGAAGAGGACTGGTTCTGTTATTGTATAGATAAGCACTGGTTTTTTGTCACTTTGGTCAAAGTTGAAAGCAAGGTTTTCACTGTTCTTGTTGGGTTTTGGGTTTTTTTCTAACTCAAAGACAGGCAGGAAACCAGAATAGTTACAGAGAATGGGAATGGTTGTAGCCATGTTACCAGTGTGGCTGCATATTATGAAAAAAAAAAGGGGGGGGGTATCTTTTTAAATTTTACCTCCCTCTGGAATGGAATTTGTCTGCTGTTTGATTGAGTCTAATGTATATGCAAATATCCTTTCGAAGTTGATTGAAACAAGGAACATCAACATATGTTTATCCAATAACCATGACCTCAAATAATTGCTATCCCCTCCCAATTCCTGTGTCACCAAGAGCATTGGCAGGATTGCTACACTGCTTTTTTCTTCTATTAAAGCTTATTTAGGCAGTGTATTTTTCCTGTATTGGACTCTGGTTAAATGCCTAAAAAGCTTTCTTGCCTTAAATTATGTTTCATATAAACCCACTTATAAGAAACTGTGCCTTTATCCTATAGAATCCTGTAAGTATTAGAAAGGCTTTCATTTTTCAATTAAAAATATTTTCTTTCAGTTCCACTATTGTATTCTCAGCTTTCATGAATTTTTCAAGCAGTAGGGAAGGATGATAAGGAGAAACAACTTGCTACAAACAGAGCCAGATACCCACCTTATTAGGTGTAGGAAAAAATAATCAGTGGAAAAGGATGGAAAAAAGTAACCATACCTGCTTAAGAAATCTGTCAGATGCATGGCTATGCTTAGCTAACACGTTTGGCAGAGCAGGGTTTGCATATTCAAATTGAGGATTGTATGTGAAATCTGACTTGAAGAACTTCATTTTCTCTTTCTCCACATTGGAAGGCTTGATTGCAGTCAGTAGACAGAGTTTTTGGCCAGAGACATCACCTTCTTTTCCATGGCTTTTTGAGGACTGGGATTGCTTTGGCTTTGTTAGACTAAAATGCCTCTTAGTTCTACTTCTGGGTCGAGATGGTAGTCCTATGCCACTCCCTGCAACCGAAATACCGCTTGTAAACTTCATGCTGGTAGACACTGGGCCAGTGACGATGATGGAAGGCTGTCTGTTCGTGCAGTACCATCCACTGCTGAGCAAGGGTAGTGAGACTTTGATTTTGCGGTGCTCATTGCTTCGCGAGGTGGTAGAACACTTTGTAGTTTTTCTGTGTTTCTTGTGGTGAGCAGATGACTGCTTTTGAGTGTGGTGTTTTTTCTCCTCTTTACTCTGCAGGAGGACATTGTAGCTACTGGTTCCCGTTGTGAAAATGTCCTTAAGGATCCCAGAAGGTGGGTGCTGGAGGCTGTCTTCATTATTAACGTTCAGCTTATGTTCCTCTGGACTCAGAATTGACTTCTTAGAAAGCTCTGTCTGAGGCCAGTGAAGTTTTTCTGCAATGAGAGGGGGAAGGAAAAAAAAAAAGCTGAGGACAAATTTGCTTGTTTCACACAGCAATGCTGATCTTAAGGACTCAAAACTGCAACATAAGTGAAATGCAAAACTTGTCTTAACTGCAGTCACATCAAGTTAATCTTGACTTCTAGACATATGGGAGAATCGTATGTGTATATTAATTTCAAACAATAATACTGGGACTTGTAAGATCCAGCTAAACTAGCACTTTATGCTTGCGTCTCCATGCGTGAGTGCACTGTTTGCAGCTGAAGTAACTTGTTTAAAACAAGACTCTGTGCATGACTTGATGAATCTTTACTCTTACATTAACAAATTTTTAGTTTTGAGCAAAATCTGATTGATCTTTATCATTCAATGAAGGCTTTCTGTATGGATAAAGAAAATCTTTAAAAATAGGAAACTGTATAGGAGTATGTAAGCAGTATTTACAGCAAAGTCCCACAGGGATCTGTGCTGTGATATAAGCAGTCTGGTGTGGTCTCATCTGCAAAATCTGATTCACAGAATTTACTCTCAGAAAGGATGAGAACATCAGAAGGGGCCAGCCACTATCAACAAGTTACGACACCATACGAATAGTAACATAAGTTTAAAAGACTTCAGTTTCACATATTCCTTCTTAATACAGACAGTAAGATATATTTAAAGAGGAGAGAGAAGAGAGATCAGCTAGCTACAGATACACCCCTGAGAATCCTCCAGATACACCCCTGAGAATCCTCCAGATGACGCTGTCATCTATTCAGAGTTGTTCTACAATAACAGCTCGCATTAAGGGAACACTTGAGAAGAAACATTGTAAACTAAACCAAATGCAAGAAGTGAGTAAGCTTCCTTTAATGAATGAAAGCTCCGTTCTTGCTCTGACTCCTTACATAGTCTTCAGGGGAGAAAGGTCCCTGGAAAAGTCTCCAAGGATTAAAACTGTATTTAATATCTGTGCTGGCTTGTTAGAGAGAATTGACCTCTCTACACTGGTTCTAACCTAGGTGAGTTGAAAGCAAGGGCACAAATGAAGCCTGCCTCAGAAAAATGCTTCCTACTTCTGCACCTAAGATGAAAGGATTCACAGAACAGGAGATACAGCTGGAGCTTGATTAAAGCCAGCAAAAGGGATTTGGGCTTCAGCCCACAGTTATACATAGATGAGCTGTGATTACATACAGTAATTATACTTTGAATGGAACATTAGCAAGAGATCATTAAATGCCTCCAAGGGGAAAAAAATTTGTAGTTTAATTTCCACTTTATTTTCACAGTAAAATTAGGTTTTGCTCCCAACACAAGCACCATGACAATGTATTTTATGCTGTTGGACCTCTATCAGTTCCATGTCAATCTGTGTTCCTCGTTTCTCCTGAAGATGCTGTTCTAAAAAGCAAAAAGACAGAGGTCCTATCTGCATGAATGTATAATTGGAAATCTGCAGCCTGGGTGTTTCCTCCACTGGACAGGGAGAGATATAAGCATTAGATTATTTTCTTCCTCTAAAGCATGTGTATCTTATGGAAGCTTGGGTTTGTTTCACAGTAAGTTTGTGAATCCTCTTTCTATGCTTGGCACAGGAACGTGCTCCTTGGCATTCCTGTTCAAATTCAGTCAGATCATTCTCCTCACATATGTGACAACCTGCCTACATGGCTTATCTTGCTTTACCATGAGCTGTCATGGTGAGAAACCACAGTTCCCATCACAAGGAAAACAACATCAAAACAACTACTATAAAATGAGATGCATTTTCTAGACAACAGAACAGGATGACTGCATTCATGTACTTCTTGGCAAGTATTTGAAATTCACTTCAGGCCTGTACCAGGTATTATAGTATGAGAATCCTTGCTTTTAAGAAGGTAAATAAAAAGCAAGGTTTCCAGAATGTCTGAATACAGAAATGTTACATTTCTGGGCACGTGAATTTGCTTGTGTAGACAAAATTGAAGTTGAAAATTACACAGCTACTTCTTAAAATACAAACAAGATAATAATGTTATGTTAATGGTGGTAACGCTTTGCCTTCTCTACTAATTGATTCTCAAAAGCCACAAAGAGCAGAGAAGCCTTAAATTGCTACTACACAGGGAATAATTTGAATTAATACCACACAAGTATCTAAGAATTGATAAATAGGAAAAAAAAAATGCAGAAACTCAAAATTACCTTAAAACCCCACTCCCAAGCTCTTGTGTTGACCCAGTACTGACAACTCAAGACAGTAAGCTTTCACAGCTAAGTAGAACAGTTGGCCAGTAATAAATGCATTTGTATCTAGACAACTTCTGAACATCACAAGTTGGAATTCTCCTGCAATTGACACAAATGATGGTCAAGCACTGAACATGCACTGGCAGGTTTCACATGCACGTGGTTGATATCAAAAATAGTTGTCCCCAATTCTGTGGTTACTTCATATGTGCAATCTTGTAGCAAAGTAATTTTTCAGCTGCCAAACTAAGTGTGGTGGTCCTTAATTTTCTTCCGACTAAAGAAGGATACTGTTTTATGCATATTTGTGCTGGAAACCTATAATCAACAGATAATCCAGCAGATTTGAAAGACGATACTAGGTAACACTGCAGTTTTCACAGAAGCCATTTAACTGCCATTCTGAATTTTTGGATTGGTCCTGTGAACATTATTTTACAAAATAAACTAGAAAATAATATTTGAGAAAGTGTCAAAATGATGTTGCAAACCACCAAATTTTAAAGTCCTTTCTCCAGGACATTGGTTTAATCTGTAATAGTTATCATTTCAAACTCACATCTGTCAGACAACATCAACCAAACTAAAAATACACTGTCTTCTAGCCAACTCGACTTACTAAACTGTATCCAAGAGTTTCCAAGGACTAGCAATGCCTGGTGACTGAAACAAAGGTCTAGTATTCTGCATATAAAACCAATTCACCACAGAGCCTGTGTTCTGAAAATGTGCTTCAGTGTTTTAGAAATTACCAAGATGATATACTTCTATAAAGCAGTCAGTCAGAGAATGGATTATCAAACCACTGTAATTACACAGGTTGGCTAGCAGTCATCTCCAGCTTTTAGACTCTGAATACCATAGGACAGTTGTCAACAGATTACTTCTAAAAGGTCTGAAAAAGGCAAATAGAAAATCATCATATTATGGCAAAACCCCATCCCGCATATCACACTACATATCATACAGGTTTTATCCTTTGTATCTCACCCACATGTTACATGTGTTCTGAGAAGTACAAATCTGAGTTTCCTGACTTTATATATTTCAGGTTTTGCAGCAGAGAACTGTGAAAGAACATATGCCCAAGTCTCCAGTTACCTTTGAGAACCTCCCCAAAAATGTGTAATTTATGTACAAAGATTCTCTTCATTGTTCTCGCTTCCACTCAGTCACAGAGCCCCAAGTTCTTCAACAATTAAAAAACCCCACAACAAAACTGGCATAGTCTCTCCCAAAAAGATTTCCCACCATGTTTACTTCCACTTGATTATATTTTATTCCTCTCTGCAACAACACAGTTATAGAAGCATAGGTCCTAGAGATACTGGTGAATTACTAAATGAAACAATCTGCTGGATTTGGAGTGGAAGGTGATTATGTAGAAAGAAGTGAGGAGGAGGGGGCAGAAGAGCTGCCTGTCCCCATTTTGACATCATTACAGTACCAAAGGACAGAAACCCCTCCTTTTCAGTGAGAATTTGGTCTGTCTTAGGCCAAAGTAGAGCTCAGCCCTTCTTTGGAGCTGCGGTGTTTGGTTTTTGCTACCCCATTAGGTGGATTAGCAGGGCAGCCAGCCAGCCAGAGGCAACTCCCCCTGTGCGTCTAAAGGATCTCACACGAGAGAAGGTTGTGCCCTAGCAAAAATCCCATCATTTTCAAGATATCTGCTGGAATTGGCAGTATTGGACTTACTCCATCCTGCAGATAAAAATGTACCATGCATCATAAAACAACACAAAATACCACCGGCTTGGTTTTGCCAACAGGGGTTTTACACCTGTGTAACTTCATTTATATGCATGTAGCTATTCCAGTGTCACAGCAGTACTGGGAAAGGGATGTACTCCAAAACTGCTAATGGAACATATGTGGGAACCACAAAACTCATTATAATTCTGGATTAATGGGATACTCTCCATGTCTAAGTTGCAGCCCAGTCACTAGCTTTGAATCTTGCAGCATCGCAGACACTGGCTAATCTTGTCATAGGTTTTTCATTAGGAAAAATATGTTAGATTTTATGTTATATTCAGGAGCTAGGTTATATTATTGGCTTCCATCCTTTAGAAAATGATGAACTGAGCTAATCTTTTATTACGTTAATAATACATGCGGTAAAATCCCAACATAAGAATTTTTCCAGACTTTGGAGAGTGTTGTAGAAAAATTTTCCTCTAGGCTACTGGGTAGCTGCTATCTGAGCTGTTTCTTAAATACCTGTTCCATAGGTGGAATGAGGTAAATAATGATAGATATTCATGAACGCAGATCTCTCTCTGTCCAGCTACCCTTGCTCTAAAGAAGGTAGAGAGCTCCTGTGGTTTTCAAGCAGCTGTCACTCAAGTTGTATACACCTAATGGACAAATAATTTCCAAACTGCAGGTGTGATTCGTGAGGTGCTTAGCAAAGATGTTCTTGGAGCAGTTCCTCCTATTCTAGGAATGTATTGATCTGAGCTGCTGCTTTTGGTTTTCAGTTCAGCATTACCAACTCAGAATACACTTCAATTTCTTTTTGTTCAAAATCAGAAACGAATAGCTTGATTTTTCAAATTTATAGAAATGCAAATAATGTGATTTATCTACAAGTAATAAGAAAATAGTGACATTTGAAACTGAAAGATGAGAAGAAAATATGTGGATGTGACAAGTAAGATTGCTGCTTTGATACATTCTGCAAATGTACAATTACATTACAAAGAAATTTTTTATCTTCAATAATCAGGTAATGTGAATAGATGAACAGCTATTTGTAGTTTGTAAGCTCTAGACTAAGGTTTGTGGCTGTAGAAAGAATATTCTGCAACAAACAGGTAATGGAGAGTGTTATATGTGAATCTGTAATGTTCCACTGCCTCTCAAATACTACAGGCTTATGTTTGTGGTGTTACAGAATCTGACCAGAATCCTGTAGTATATTTCCTCATCACTATAAACACCTTTAAGGTTTACAAACACTCAAGTTCTGAAGTGTCAGATCACTTGAACTAAACAGCACTAGAAGCTCTGTTTCTGAAAATGATTTTGCTATAGAATTAGTCAGTGAGCCCCTGTAAAAAAACTGATGCTGAGATATCTTTTATTTTCACAGCAAGTTAGCTATTAACCAGAGCCCATATGATGTTGGGAACTTTGACATTTAACCTAAGAAATTTTTTTCCCCAAAAATATCTACATATTTGCTTTCCTCCTATATCAGCATCTCTGTCATTCAACTTTAATTCTGAGCTCCAAGACCAAGGGCAAGTTTCAACTATGAGCCAACTTGCATGGTCCATTCATTAATTGTCAGTGTTTGTAAATAAATCTGAAATAGACACCACTTTCAGGATTCATTGGCATGATTTTAGGCTGTGCGGTTTTTTATCTTTAAAATTGCAAACATATTGACAAATGTACTTTCTGACTTAAAAAAGTCTAAACTGACTTGCAAGCAGTTTCTTGCATACATATTTCTATACTGAAATATGACATGATGTAATAAACTCCAAATTCAGATTCTTCAAATTAAATTATATAGCACAGTAATAATCAGTAAAAGACTTGGCCCTAATGAAATCAAGTAACAAACTCCCATTCAATAGGTTCAGGATATAATCACAAAACTGAATTATGGTCAGATCCACACAGGATGAAACTTCGATCTAAGCAGATCTCTAGCTTGCTCTACTGCAGCACAGGTGTGCTCAGGAATATGTGATGGAGGGGTATGGACCCAAAATAACTATCTTTCCCTTTAAGAAATATTAAAGGATTAAGATGACAGTTCTGTTGTACATTTCTAGGGATGCTCCTTCTGATTCCATGAACTTTTTCTTCTCCCACTACCAGAAGTAACACCCTACTCCTAACCATGCACATGTGGAACGGCATATAACATACGGAGAGAAGGAACAGCTGTAAGAAATCTGAATTATGATTGTAACAGGGGGACACTAACACATCTCCACCAGATCTGTTCTTGATGGATTTCCCCATGACAAAGTATCATTGACCTGAAGGAGCTGAAGCAATGATAGACGAAATGATGTCAAATTTAAACAGGGAGAACATCTGAATGGAGAATTTGTTTTGAAGCAGAGACTGTATTGTAGGCTTTTGTGCATATCACATATATGCAGAACCGAAGAGTTTTGTGTGGTGGCAAATACTTTTTCATATTACCGTTATACAGTTGCAATACAGGGTTTTATATACACGAGAAAGATTTGTTAACTTCTCTGAAAACAGGGCAAAGAGGAGAGCCGGAGAGTGAAAGACACCAGATGCAATTAGTAATAGTTCAATCAGGTGTCGCCTCCAGACGCCCCAGTGTCCCTGGGAAGGGGCCGGGCCCGCAGGTAACACACTCACCCCCCTCTTCACCCACGGGACTCCCGCTTCGCCGTCTTCCCTCAAGACACGCAGGTGAGAAGCACCTTTCCCCCATCCCCACGCCGCAGGTACGCTCACGGAGACCCCTCGGCGCCTCCTCGGGTGGTTTTGGGTTTTGTTTTTGGGTTTTTTTTTTTTGTTTTTTTTTTTTTTTTCCCCCCTCTCCCCGCGGTCCGGGCGCTGAGGCGAACGCGGCCCCACCTCGCCCCTCCTCCCGCCGCCACAAGCCCCTCGCCAAGCCGGGAACGCCCCGGCGGCGCAGCGGGCGCCTGGCCCCACGGGCGGCACTCACCCGTGACGCGGATAGACTCCAGCATGGTGCTCGGTCCCCTCCCGGGCGGGGAGAAGGGAGGCGGCGAGCGGCGCCTCAGCGCAGCCGCCCCGGCCCCGTCACGGCCGAGGGAGCCCGGCCGGCCCCGGCCCGGTAGGCGGGAGTCGCGCGAGCAAAACGCCCGCCTGCATGGCCCTGAAGACTACAAGTCCCGGCAAGCCTTGCGCCGCCGCTGCGCCGGCGTGGCTGGGGCTGGGGGCGAGCTGCCTCCTGGGAGCTGTAGTGCAGGGAGCGGGGCGGGGGCCCTGGGGATGGGGGGTGGGCGCCCGGCTGCACCCAAAAAACGTGGGGAGAGAGCCCGCTTTACCACACGGGCGCCCAGCTGCGCCCAAAAACGTGAGGAGAGCCCGCTTTACCTCACGGGCGCCTAGCTGCACCCAAAAACGTGGGGAGAGAGCCCGCTTTACCACACCGGCACGACTTGGTGTGAGGTGGCGGCAGCCATGGCAGGAGTCTAGCAGGGCATAACTCGCACAGAGTCCAGCGACTCCGTCAGCTGTCATCCCTGCTGTGATTGATAATAATTGCTATGATTGATAATTATCTGCTGGGCCTAAGGCAGGCAGAGAAAGCGCTGCGTGGGGCAAGGATGCTCAGAAGGGTGTGTGCCAACCGGGAGAACACGACAAGGAGCTGTTGTCTCTTGCTAAAGGGAACAGAGGAATCACATCAAAGCAACAGTTTAGGGCAGTAACTGATTTTAGTAATCAGGCTTATCGTACATTGATAAGTAATAAATAGAACTTAAAACAGAAGATTGACTTTATATTGCGCCCTTCTGTTGCGTTACTTGTGCAATCTGTTGCTTTGTTTGTGAAACCTTGTACTCCTTGAAATGTAATCTGCGAGTTTTAAAATGCCTATTGAATATCAGATAGGAACCAGCTATTGTACTTTACCAATTACAGCTGTGTAACCAATTAATGGAGGCATGGCGTTGGAAGATTTTGTAATCTTCATGCAGATTTAAGGACATGACAGAAGTGAGATTACACAAGAATACATTTTAGCATGTTAATGTATTTACTTTTCTAAATGGTCAACACTTAACCGAGAAAGCAATTTAATTAACAGTGACTTAACAGCACAGTAGTGCTCAACATACATTATGTGAATGTAGTGATCTGCCAGGGAGAGGAGAGCTGGGAAGCTGTGTGCTGCTTTGGTTGAATGGCTTAAATGTCTGCCACCATCCCTCCCATCAATAAATTCATACCTGCAATGCACTGCACACAGAGATTCTCTCCATAACATTGTCCTATAAGGTTGTAAGATCTGGCTGTATCATCACATAGCAGGAATGGGAATTCCACCCATCACAGCTCATTGATACTTGTGAGAATCCCTTTCTGTGTCCTACCTGGAAAAATTTTACTGAACATCATGAGTCCTTCTCATAGACACTTGCATGTATGCAATCATACAACTGAGCGGACACAGATCAGATAGTTGTCTGCTTTCATAATCACTCTTCACAGGCAGGAATTAAAAAAAAAAAGAAAAAAGAGTTTAGAGCACATATTTTCATTTTATTTACTACTGCCTCACACACAAAGACAGGCACTGTTAAGACCAGCTAGGAAAAGACTGAGGTGTCATTTTTCTCAGTCTGCTAATGAACAGCTAGTGCTGAAACACACTTCTACCTAGCTGACAAATTCGGCGTCCCTTTTAACTTTAATTCTTTGAGGAACAGAGAAGATACAAGCTCTGTCAACATGTCTAAGTTTAACCTAAAATACCCTCTAAAGTACTTTGCTAACACTGTAGTATCTGGAACCTGCAGGCTTCTCTCCAAATCTCAAATTGCAGGAACTGAATAAACACTTCTAAATTTAGAGAGACAGAGCTATCACTAATCAGTTAGAGTCTGTTTCTGATACATGAAAATAACAGAAAAAAAAAACAGTGCATCATTTCAAACACTGCAAATAATAAGCACAGCAGATGAAGAAACAATAGATGGCTCCTAAAAGGTGCAGTCATTGTACAATTTTACCATAACTCCCCAATGGTTTTGCTGTGTAGACCCTAAATTATTCTCTTAGAGATGATACTTTATATATGCTTGGAAACCATAGCAATAAAATTGCTAACTCCGGCTTTTGATGTGTATTTTACACACATGTCCCCTCTCATTGCTCTCTCTGGTGAATGCCTCCTCTCCATGTTTCACATCTGCCTATTTCTCCCTGGTGTCGACAAATCCTTTTTCACTGAGCGCTTGGGCATTCAGTCACCCCTGAAACTGATGCCTCCATCTTACTTCTTCTTTTCCTGCTAGCTTCTTTCCTTTGCAGGGTGTCTTGAAGGTTTTGTTAGGTCATGCTAGCTCCTGGCTGTAGCAGGAGGATGCCAAAGGCAGTAGCAGAAGGCACAGAGGAAGGATGCTATAAGGCCACCTGCCCATTTTCTGCTTTGGCTCTGAGCAAGCTTTGTCACATTTGTTGATTAAAAGCATAACGTGAAAAGCTCAGTCAAGAAAAACATTACTAAGTATCTCAATATGACAAGAATGCTATATATATATATATATATATATATATATATATATATATATATATTTAATGTACCTCTGGCAGTTCTGACCGCAGAAGCATCTTAGCTTGCAAGTCTGCCCAGATGGGCAGTGGGAAAAAGATGAGATACTCTGTCATGAAAAAATTCCTGGAGGGTATCAGTGCAGCTGGCACGGATCTGATTGTAGTGAGGTGAGGGAACATGGGGACAAATGGTAATGTTTAGATGAGCCACACTGTGGAATACAGCTTAAATAATAGTTACACAATACAAATAGATCTATGTCTTGGTACCATATATCCATTGTTAGGAGAAAGAATTAAAGCTGGTGTACATCTTGTATTTCAGCTTTAACAGAACATTACTTCCAGAGATAATTCCAGATTTACCTGGTCATGCCTTCAGATATAATTTCATATTCACCCAGTCAAAAATACTGCAATGTCTTGCATGCAGAAGAGTATCTTTAAAGGAATATTAGCATCAATAACCTCTGCAACATGTACAGTATAGAAGAGCAGTGATACATTTTATTGATCTCTACATCTGACACTAGCTAACACTGCAAAATTCAAACACACACAGAGACACATATATAAATATGTATGTGTATATGTGCGTTTGGATTTTAAATAGGCATATACATATATATACACACACTTGTTGGTTTTATTTGGTTCCTCTACCATATTCACAACGGTATCTTTCTTCTGCTTCTCTGTGCTGACTATAAAGAATCCCTGAGGAACTAGGAAAGCTGAGAACAAGAGTCCTTAACTGCGTAATCTGGCACAGCTTCACAGCCATCAGCCATTGGAGTGGCAAGGTTAGCCTCCCCTCCCTGACTTAATGACTCTTAGCTGGCTGAATACTTTCTGACCAAACAGTTTCATTGACCAAGCGACTCCAGCTGACCATCCTTCCAGATACCTACTTTCTAGAAACTCCTTCTAAAATGTCTAACATTGCTATCTGATTCCAGCTGGGTCCTACATTTCTAGTATACAGCAAAGGCAGCCCATGCCTGTGGGAGCTGCTTACTCAGTCTTATTCAATGGGACTGCTATTTTAAGATGCATTGAAGAGCATAACTTGATACAGCTCCAGTATTCAGATTGATATATCCACTGTATTTGTTCCTGCTTTACACTAGGGAGGCTCAATACCATAAACTCAGCCTAACAAGGGAAAACAAAATCCAGGCAAACCTTGCAGTAAAGTCCAGAGAAGTGAAAGCAATGCAAGATCCTTGTGATATGAACCTACAAATGTAGCTGACTGTTGTCCATTATCATAGGGGGAAAAAAATCAGAGATGTCTATTGCACACTCACAAATTGTACAGAGGTGTCTATTGTACATTCACTTATACCTACTAAGAAAAAAGAGGCTTCTTTCCTATGGCAGAGAACAGGGTTATATACACCCATTAGCCACAGTAAAGCATGTACCTGCTTACAGTATGGACTGACGGACCAGTACACCCCTCTTGACCTTTCTTCCTCTAACTGTCTGCCCGTTTCTGCAGCAATGCCGTGGCACTACTGGGGTCCTTCTGAGAAAGGCAGGAGGTTGCCTTTGGCAGCGGCAGGCAGGAGTGGCAGGCAGCCCGAGCGCAGGCTGCCTGCCGAACCGCAAACACCGACGGCGGAGTCACGGACGCCTTGCTGTGGCAACGCAAATACCAGGTCAGGCAGCACAGGGCTAAGGACAATCTGCCACACCCCCTCATCCTCCCCCCCCCCCCCCCCCAAATGAGAATTTTTTTAATGTTCGTACTTTTGTCTTTGGGCCTTTTGAAGTCTGCCAACTCTTTTGTGGTGCTGGGATAATTTCAGTTGAAAAGCAAATGTTTTCATAGTAATGCATCACCCTTTTTGGATGATCAGGTGGGGGCTTCACCCGTTTCTTAACCAACCTGAGAAAAACACCGTGTTCCTCCCCCTATTGCCATTAATTTCCTTATCCCTTCCTCTTCCACACCACCTACCTGACCCCCTATTATTTGCTCGCCCAGGCTGTACAACAGACTTAGAGAATGAAAAGGGGATATCCAAGAAACACAAACACCATCTTAGCAGATTTTTACACGATGCAACTTGTATAGTAATAGGTATGACTAGATGGTGCTTTGGAGAAAGAGGCCTCGCCTGCATGCCGGGGACCCATCACACAGCTCACCTCAGTGGGCAGAGACCCAGCAGCTGGGGAAAAAGCGGCGATCTACTTCTTCATCAAAGTATTTCATTTCACAGAACATCCAGATCCTCTCACTTAGGACAGGATCAGTAGAGCAGAACGGGCTTTGCCTGGCCCGGAGAAGGTGGTTTTCTGGTAAGTCCCATTCTCAAGGAGAAGCACTGGACTCAATGAGGGGCACAGCCCAAGGTATAAGCCCGCTCTTTTTCTCTGTTTTCCAAGTACATGCCTGGTACTGCTACCTAGCATTACCTTGCAGGTTCCTTCATAGTTTGTGGGCTCAGATGGGACTATAAAACAGTTGTGATGATTTTATTTACTCCATGCTGAATAATCCCTTTCAAGCAATACCGGGGATGAATTCAGCTGATGGAAATAGTGTTCAAGCTTGGGAGAAGCAT